ATGAATCCCTAAATTTCGGATTACTGGTAATTACAAGGGTTGACTAATGGAGCTCTGGAAGTAGAAGTTTCCAGCTGCCACAAAATCTCTATTAGATTCTAGGCCCACCGCATCTCATCTACTACCCAGGTATCAATTGGACTACATTTTGCAATTAGGAACTGTAAATTCTGACTCAGTATGAAAACAACGTATGAACCATTATTCCTTATGCACATGCGTGTTTTTTTGTATGAGCCAGAATTTATAGTTTCTAATTGCAAAATTAGGTCCAATTTATGATAAGAAACCTCATGAAAGTGAGTTCCCACCCTCCAAGGAAAATGCTATATGATGACACAGTGATAATCAAGCACGGTTCAAAATTGTATTCTGTAAAAACACATAAATAGGTGAGAGCTGCTTTCTCAGCGCTCTTTGTCACTTCACAACGCTGAAGTGCCACTGCCTACTTTACTTATTCTCTTAAAAGTCTTCAGGGAACTGATATGCCGTCATTTCTGGTACAAATCCCTTTGCCACTCTTTAACTGGGCACTCCCATTGTCTCCTCTCTGAAGAAACCCGATCAAATATCTCTTCTTGCAGCCTTTCTTCTGTCATCTTATTGACATAACCATACCAAACAATCCTAGGTATAAATATTTAAAATTAACAAAATTAAATACGACAAGAATGAAGGGGAGAAGGCTAGAGGAGTGAATATAATTTATGATCAATGTCTCTGAGGGCCGAAAAATATTTCATAGCCTACCAATGAGAACAGTGCCAACTACCCATGATTCTGAAGACGGTATTGACTTAGTAACCTTCTCTGTGACGTTCACCTTTGATACTGGAGGTGATTTAATCTAAGGAGAGAATTTTTGAGATATTCTCCAACAGGCCACAAGTATTGAGATGCTATGTTGAAGTAAACTTATCTAATACCGTTTGGTTTATATTTTTTAATACTGAAAAAATTCTTAAGTCCCATGGACCTCTGAAGACCAATAAGCATTGGGCAGAAGTGTTGAGCATTCATACTCAAACGGACGAGACATCTGGTAATTCAAACTGAATCAGACAAAGCCATTTGGCATCAGGTAATTTTGATTCTTAACGGTCTGGACACAGCTTACTTTGATAACGCACCGCTAAGATGCAGGTTAACTTGAATTAGGCAAGTGCAATATCAAAATTACTATGGAGAGGAATCAAAATTTGAATGATTCACAGCTTCACTACAAACAGAAAACTGGAAATAAAAAATAAGGCAGTCAGCCTCCTGTGGTGTAGTGGTTTTAGCGCTGGCCCTACGACCAAGAGGTCCTGGGTTTGATTTCTGGCCAGATGACTAAGTGATATAATAATGATATAATAATGGTTAACATAGCCAACGCTTCTGTGCGCAAAACACAATCAGGAGCACAAGGTCAACCAAAGCAGATCTTCATCAACGCAAATAAATCGTGAATGTAAACACGCTAGGTTGTTGAAAAATGGTTAGAATCTTGTCCTGACACATGTGTTTTGGCAGACTGATGTCAGCCGTGTTGAATATTGCGTAGTATCCTAGTGGACAGGGGTTGGATAGAACGATACCTCTGACAAAATGTTCACCTGTGCCATAGTATCGTTGTTGAAGCGGGTAGCTTAAAAAATGCAAATTTTTTAAGCAGATTGTGAAGTTAAGAGTGCATTTCAAATTTAGCCAAAGTGCTAGTCATTCTTGAGACATTTACTGGTAGAAACAACTCTTCTTTATGCTCTAGTAAAAGTTTGCAGCAGGCCTGTTGATGAGTAGTTTTTCTACAATACGATCATGAGACGGATGTCTTCAAGATAGATAGTGGCAAACAACAGTATATGCAGAGGCCTAAACTCGTCACATGCCCTTGCAAATCAAAAGTAAACCAATGCCAACTTATCTGACAACACCTCTAAGAGCGTATTCGATAACCCTGACTTATGATCTAACACCCCAGTGTAAAAACTTGACTGGTCCTCAAGTCCCCTGGAATAGTAGTAGAGGGTTAAAGTAAACCCGTAAATATTCATTCGGCAATGATTTCAATAGGAGGTGTTTGAAGTATATCTTGTGCGACATAGTTTCAAAGCATATCAGCCTGCTAAATTCTCATCCCTACACTTGATAAGAGCCACCCTCGCTCAGTGATAACGGGGCACTTCAGGATATGGAAGTGAGTCTGGTGTAGACAAAATACGCGCAAAATAGCTTCAAAGTATGGTCCACTGTTGAAACACCATCAGAGATTCGAAAGAAAAACGAATTGAAGCGATCAGTAGTCAAAATAATGATCCAGACGAGAAAAATGAACAACTAACCTCAAATAAACAAAGAGACAAAGCCTGCAGCGTTTATGAGTCTCTCACTTGACAAAACATGACGGAGGTCGCCTGGATTCGTAGCGAAATTGAACAGACACTAGTTAAGACCGCGAACCACTAATTTCCGACGCAAAATTCAGATCAATAATGTATAAAGTCGGAACGAAAGGGCCGAATAATTGCGAGACGATCACCTCAAAGGACGGTGTCACTGACCGCCCCAACCCCGAACGTCAAGCGTGATAAAGGGACGATACATCCATGTTGCCGGCTCGCTCCCTAAAAATTATTGATGACGAAGTAACGATATCCGAGTTTTTTCGGTGAAGAAAGAAACTTGGAGCTTGCATAGAAAATATCACGGGTTTTAAAACATCCTCCTTCATTCAGAACATTTTAGGTTCCAGGAATTGCCGGGATTTATACTTGATTACGTAACAAAAATCGCGAGATGAAGTACGAGCTGGCAACATGGCTGGAGTTTTGTGTGGCGGCCATCTTGACGATCGTCATTCCATCACAAATGCCGCGAAATTTGAATTTCTAAAGTTACGGTATTCATATCAGTCCTCACGCCTCAAAGTGTTTCCATGGTAATTTGGGTTCCAATTATTCCTGTATTAATTCACTGACCCGACGTACAAAATGAAACAAATCTGAGAGAACATCGATTCAGAATGAGACACTGGAAATGAGAAATTCCTTCATACAATATTCGTCTTTCTTCGATTGGAATTTGGAAAGGGATAAGTGGATGACATAAATTCATTCTGAGTCCTAATTTTAAAATTGTAGCACTGACAGAGGCGCTTTAATAAGCTGTGCGATCACATTGTTGTAGGCGTAAAAAATTTACTGATATAGCTAGGAATAGCTGACAAAACGGGCTAGTAGTAACAAAAAATTCCCTACAACACAGAATGTTGCTTGAAATGATAGATACTATCTGTAAAAATTTGATAAAGCATAAACTCAAAAATAATTTCCCTTTCATGAATGAATGCAAAGGATTTTACTTCCAATTTCAGATATACAGATTAACAGCCAGATGCTTGCAAAGGAGCTATCTATAGAGGATTCCTATGTTTTTACGGATTTACATGAAATAAAGTTATGCTGTGTACAAGTGTTATCATCTACTATGAGCAGGGTCTCTCAGCATCGAAAAAAATGTATGAGGAGAGCGATTATTGATGAAGAATGAGGGAAATCGGTATTTGACTACGTGAGAGATTTGAGTATGTTAGAGAAAGACCTCTTCACTAATCTAGAGAGAAAACTGCGAGGGACTAAGTTATTTTCAAGCTAAAAATATAATCTAACAATGATCAGGCCAGGCTATGACATGAAACGTAGAACATTAAATGGCTTTCCAGCATAAGTGTTCCTTCTCAACTTGAATTAAAGACTTCAACACACCGTAAATTCAGTTTGGTATAAGACTTCTTTAGAATTTTTTTTTCCAGAAAGATAAAAAATACTCCTCCTTGCAGTGGTATTGACACCTTAAAATTGAATTACGTATTCAAAACGTATAAAATTGCCATGATCAGTGTACAAATGCTACCATACAATTTGAAACACTTACTTTAAAATTGCTATACATGGTAAAGTGAGACAAATGGATGTCTCAGTAGCAACGTAAAAGAATCACTAGTTATGTTTTAATTCCCCCCAAGGAAAACATATCAAAAAAATATTTTGCAATTTTGTATGATTTTTGAGAATGAGATGAGAACGTTTTCAGAAAAGTTCAACAGAAATTGAGAATTTGCTTTCCTTTAAAAAATAAAATATGAGAGGAGGCTTCCAACGTCACAATTTGAGATGCATCGTTTGACTTTAACTTATATTTCCTTAAATTATTGAGCTTTTAGGGTCGAACTTGCGCCAAAATTTCCAGATTTCTTCATCTATGCATTAGAAAAAAGTTAAGGAAATTTTTAGCCTGGAAGATAAGGCCCTTTTTGACAGATTTAAAACGAAAAGGGGTTGTTGAAAAGTATTAGTAATATTTTTCCATTTTGACGAACTGTCATCCGCAAAACAATGACTCTGTTTGTCTGTTTATTGTGCACCAAAACTAGTTTATCCCCAAAATTACGATTTTCGGACCGAAAACTTCAAACTGCCATAACTCCTGTTCAGTTGAACATTTTATGCCCTAAAATGCTTGCGGTACGCTCCTCAATGCTCTGGGGTAATTGATTTAACTGAAAGTTTTAGTAAACTAAGGTAATCTTTCCCTGTGGACGGTTGTATATTGATAGTGATAGCAAACATTGGTTTCTCGGTTTGCGACATTGCAAATCCCCTACCATATTTCACTTTTCTAGAGAAGGGCTGCACATCATTTTTGCACAAAATTGTATGGGACTTCTCTTACGTATTTCCACAATACTCTCTGAGAATCACCAGCAGAAAAATCATGTTTTCAATCAAAATCAAGCATTTTACAAGCAGCAATAAAATGATGAAATAAAAGTAAGAATTTTCAAACCCCCTCGACCGAGAGCCCAAGTTTGGTAGTTTTCACCATCAACAGATCCCGAATCCATCTTTGAACTGGATAAGTTCTTTTTAGCAAAGACCAATGTAGATAATGTTGTACTCTTTAACGACGTCTAACTTTTGTTCTGCTAAAAAAGAGACCCAGGAGAAGTTTCTTACCTTTATTTGAATTGAGAGACCTTCGCATTTCATATGGCGTGCTTCGTGTTGGTGTCGTGCTTGTGCAGTCTGAACTTTGGGCCGAATCAGGCTGATCCTGCTCGCTGCCACTACCTGCATTGCCTGCAATAGAGGACGCAATCATATTGATTTGAGAGGCACTTGGAATGTTCCTAAGCTGCACAAAGACTGCTAGCAAGTAACTGCTAAACTTCTCAAGGGTAAACCAATTTTCACTGGATATCTACATGGTGTCTGGAATATTAACCATGCTTACTCCCTCATTTTCAGGAGCTCAATCCCTGAAGAGGAGTCAAAGTTTCCTCCCTCTTCACCATGTATCCCAGATTATCCCCAATCAAGAGACCATGGATTACTTGATTCGTCAGTATGGACTGTTTGAAAGACGGACAGGGGGAAAACCCAATCAACTTTGAACTTAGCTCACTGATAACTAGTTGGATTACATTTGGCAAAAAGAATCGAGAGCATTCAAATGTCATTAAGATTGTGCAACTTATTTTACCTTGCAAATATTAACTTATCGTCTAAATGAGTTTCATCCTTACTCCCAATAAACTATGAATTCAAGATGAAAATTACCTTCGTAAATTTAATTTTTTGCAAGATTTCATACATTTTTTGCAAAGGGCATAAGTTGCACAATCCTAGCAACATTGAAATGCTCTTGGTCCCTTTTAGCAAAATGGAATCCAGTTGTAAGTTTAAATATTAGCTGATTGTAGCTAGTTTACTTGTTTACTCAATGAATGACTCAAAGTTACAAGTGGAAAATTATGTATGTATCAAAAATTAAGGCACTAAGTACTGGAGAGGTTTATAAGTAAGACCTATGGATTAGGCTGGCTAGAACTAAACATGTAAATGAGTCTTACTAGTGGATTCACGAGATTTTGAGCGGAGATGTTTCTTAACGTAAATGGATGCTGCCACATCTTCTGCCTTCTTTCCTTTACGGTTTGTTTGATTAGGATCGGCTCCATACTCTAACAACAGCCGCACCAGCTGAAATCAAGATAATCAACTTTTTTCACTGAGGAACAATTCTATTTAAGGAGAAGTAAATAAATATTTGGAGAGTCTATATTAAAAGCAAGTGAAAATTTTATCATAGAAGTACATTATGTACACAGGGTGTTTCACAATCAACGTTAACAAACATCCAGGGGAGATTTCAGAGGTTGAAAATAGACTTTCCAGATCTTTAGGCATGCGCTTTGCCTCGGCAGTCAGGTAAAGTTGCAAACAAGCAATGTTCTTTTTACGTTGGGCATCTCCCTATTAGGTCAAGCTGTTATAAAATTTGGCAAACTACTTGTATATTATTAGGGGATGGTATAAACAGGTTTTAGCGGTTACAGGAAGCCAACCTATCAAAAGCCAATTATTCTGATAATATCAATAAAACTCCTTAAAATTCTCTTCTGATGTTATTTTTTGGAACAGATTCAAAATCAGCAAAATACGTTGCTGTAAAATGCAAAATTTCAGGATGATCAGTCACAACTTAAGTATGAACAATTATGTTTTTTGCACCTTTACATCTCTGCAGGGTGAGAATTTTTTTTTACTTTTCAAGGCCAAAAAAGTCGATTTTGACCCCTGACATCACCTCTTAAATTGTATGACAATAAGCCTGAGACACACACTAATTGTATCTAAATATCTATAAAAAAAATGCTGCGATATTAAAATGTTTGCTTTACAGGATGTTATAGATGCACACAATATACATTAGAAAAAAATTCTATCGTCAGTGAAAAAAGACAGTTATCAATTTGAGAAACACCTGGAAAGTGATATACGCTGATATATTTGCTCTCTCTGTGAGCGTTGAGGGTGAATTTACTTAATAAGACTGGAGGAAATTCTTCTTGGGTATCAAGAGAGGAATTGTTTCAATTCTCATGTTAGTTAATGGCTAAATTAACAAACTCTACCTCAAAGTGTCCGTTGACTGCTGCATCATGTAAAGGCGTATCATCATTGAGACCTCGGGCATTTGCATTTGCGCCTGCTTTTAAGAGGGCCTGTGAAATCTCAAACCATCCACGATTGCAAGCTTCATGCAGAGGCGTCCACCCTGCATGCAATGGAATGAAAGCACATAAAAATGAGAGAAAATAAACAACTTATATCCTCTGCTTTGAGCACAATGAAACACTAAAACTTAGGATCTGCTTGGACATTGGAAGATTACACTAAAATATGGTGAAATCATTTGCAGGTGGAATAATGTGAATATGATATTTTATCATTTCCTCATCAGGACGTATTAGAAGCAAATTATCTGCGTTTCTTGCAGTGTTCAATAGTTAATCATGAGTCCCACCTGATGAGGGATGTTAGAGAAATCTGGGCTGTGCAAACAAGTCAATGAGGTCGATGTATTGTAGCTTTGTTGAGCTGATAACTGATGGCTGATTTACTGGGATCAGCTTGGTTAAATTGATGATATCAGTCTAAAAAAAACGTTTTTTTTTTACTTCCGTTTAAAATTTCTACTCTTACTTAATATTTTCAAGGAAAACATTTACTTTACTGCTTGAACATTAAACTGACCGCATGACAAATTTCTTGGATTTATTAGGGCACTTGAGTCTGAAATTTCCTGACTTCTAGAAGACTGAGCCTCATGTTTTATCGGTGAGTCTCTTTTTTCTCTGATAGAGTGCACAAAAGCAGTGAAGATGAATAGAGGAATCTTTAGACTAGAGAGAAAATTTTTAGGTTCGTCAGGGGTATGTCATGATTTCTTTCAGACATTCAATGGATGGTAAAAGTTTCCTATCTTTCCCAGGTTTTCTATGACTTTTTGAGAACTTGTCGCCCTGTCAATACACAATTAGAGCAACAATGAAATAGGTAAACATTTTAAAAAATTGATGTTGATAAGTTTCCCATCTAAAAAATATTCAGAGTGTGGCTATTGAGAGATCTCAAGATGGGCAATGTCATAATTGCTGGGAAAAGGGATGGCTGGACAGAATTTTCATTAAATTTTCGTTTAAAATCAACAATACTTGAGCTGATTAAGAGTTCTGTTCTGACAAAAGTGAGTGATGAGCCAAGCTAAAATCATTTGATGTTTGAAAGCAGTCACCTCAAGAACCTCAATATTAAAGGTTCTACAATCAGAGAAATTGGAGAGGTACTTCTGACTTAGTGTAGAGAATCTTTTTAGGAGTTTTAGGATAACATTTCACAATTCAATCCAGCAATTTTCAGCATTTTTCCCTTTCATGGACACACACCTGCAAAATCAGCGCAGTTTGGGTCTGCTCCATCAGAGAGTAGTTGGTTGACAGCGGTTACGTCTCCTTTGATTGCAGCCAGGTGGAGAGGTGTCTCTCCTCTTTCATTCACTTGGCTTTTCGGGCGACTGCTAGGACTACTTTCAGAATCTGTCATCAATACAAAAGTATGGAAATACAGTTAATAATTGGAAAAAAAGAAAATAATTTTAATACCTACTTCGAACATTATTTTAAAAATTCATGATTCACATGATAACTTCAAAATGTTTCGATAAAATAAATTGGATTATCACTAGACTTGAACCACTTCCAGGAAATTTAAATGATTATTTTTCTTTTTCCTCCTTTATCGGGTTGTATCAGATAATACTCACTTTTCATTTTTCGCCCGATTTTGAGATTTCGATTGTCAAACCTTAAACTTATACACTATGGCCATTTTGGCTTTCACAGCCATCATCAGGTGATTAAAAACGAAAAATGAACTAAATTACAACAAGACGGACGTTAAAACATTATTATCACCGGCGTCGCGTTGCGAGTGGTGATCGCACTCGCCAGTTTCGTGACACGTCGCCGGTGATAATAATGTTTTAACTTCCGTTTTGATGTAATTTAGTTTGTTTTTTGCTTTTAATCAACTGATGATGTCTGTGAAAGTCGAAATGGCCGTAGCGTTTTAGTTTAAGGTTTGACAAACGAAATCTCAAAATCAGGCAGAAAAGAAAAAGTGAGTATTATTATTAAATTTGAATTATTTTTTTTTTCTCTGCTTGAAGAATAATTTGTGAGTGTATTTCAAGCAATTATACTACCTACCTTATTTCCCTTCAAAAAAACACAGGAGAAGCCTCAGACATTCTACAATGTCAGAATTGAGGTACATTATTTTTGAGTTTATACTTGTAATGACATTTTACTCCAATTATTTATTGGGTGTGATTGTCTCGACTTGATACTGCAAAAGCAATTTTTTGGGTTTTCATGTGGGTAAAATAGGAGATAAATAAACATCAATTCACAAACAAAAGCTAATGTTAAAATAGTAAGATATGTTAGAATATTTTATTTTTCGGAGGAAAAAGAGGGCTCATGTTGGCCCATCGAATTACTGATTGAGCAATGTGTAAGTATCACATTCCGATACAAACCTTGAGAGGTATCAGCAGTCATTTGCAGCAGCAATGCCATCTGCTGTCGTTCCGAGACGGGCGTTGTGCTGTGCGGTTTATGAGATCTTTCAGTTACTGAGCGAGTTGAGGATGGCATACTCATGAGATCAAGAATAACTGTAGAAATAAACAGAAAGAATTGATCAATTAACACATACTCAATAATTTATTTCTCTCAATAGCAATATAGCACCAGATCATGGTAGATCTGGTGAAAGCCAAGCATTGTTTCCATAGAATTGTCCCACTGCTCGGAACTTTGAAACTTTTAAAACTTCATTTAATTTTTCTTTTTTTTTTGACTAAAAGCATGGCTTTAAAATAGTCACGAGAAAAATTATTGGAATCAACAACCTTTTCTATCTTTTAAATCCTAGGTTTTCTTAGAAGGAAATATCAAAAGACTAATTGATGGTCGGCATCTTATGGCATAGTGGTTGTAGTGGTAGCTCTCTAATCGGGAGTTTCCAGGTTCTATTCCCGACCGGGTGACCCCCAGTTCGATGGTCTCAAAGAATGGTTGCCTGGGGCTGGAAAGACTAACGAGAGATAAGACTGTAACTGAAAGTTCAAGATTACTCCCTTGAGGATATTTGATGAGTACAGAAAAATATTTAAGAAAGAAAAAAACATTGCTGAGAATGCAACCTTTGATTTCGGAGGCAAATTTTCGAGAGTAATACAAAGAAAGTAAAACTTTTAGTCATCTTATAAGGGAAAATGTTTGGCTATCATTGTACAGAATTGAAAAAGAATCCGCAGAGAACATGCAAGTATCGACCAGTGAATTTTTTCTTACTTTCTTAAACTTAGACCATTGATTTGAAGGCAGAGGTCAAATGACCTGTTGAGGAGCATACAATTTTACACAGGTATTGGCGGACCAGTGGTTCATGTGCCATTCGGTACCTGTGGAAAACGCAGATCAAAAAGGGAAACTTCACTTAACCACTGAGTCCCAATGCTATTCAGGGGTTATCACACTAATACAGTAGATGAATATTGTAGCATGCAAAAATAGAGGACTGGCTTACCCCTCTTCAAGGCTACCAATTGACTGTAAATGTTACTGTTTTTATTCAACTCGCGTTGACTAGGTTCCAACTCAACGTTACATCAATTCTCTTTCAGACAAACATGATATTTGTCTCAAGAGAGCTACTATAAAGTATGAAGAATGTACTGCTATGAAATAGAGCATAATGAAACTCATGGGGCATTGATCACCCTCAGACCTGACGGCTCAGAAACTAATCGCACAGGCTTCGGCAGGTTGTCCCTAATTGCCATATGATACTGAAATAAGAGTAAATATGTTTACTTTATGTTTGCATAGTTACCTACAATAGGCCAGAAGTGAAATTCTATCATCTTAGGTGAAAAAATTGGGAAAAACAGACGAAAATTAATATCAGGAGAAAGGATAGTGGGAACTTACCACAGACTCAGGAAAAAGGCAGTAGCCCAAAAAATTCATCACATGGCAACAGAACTTCTAGAATTTGCAGGGGCTATATTGAATCCACAGACGTACGATGAGAGAAATGAGGGATGGCTGTATTAACGGAGAATATTCGATTAAAGGGCATACTTTTTTCGAAGTAAACAAATAAGCATGTACAATTATAACCTAAGTTCTGAAGCGAACTGAGATCAGAAGTTTTGGCGGGAGTGACAAGAGACGTTACTTTTCGTTTACAGAGGAAAATTTCGGAGTAAAAGAGAAATTTACGACGGATTCTGGTTCCACGCTGATGCAAATGATAGTGAACAAAATTGATAAATGCTTGGGAAAACTGGAAAAAGAAGATTATTAAATCGGGATCAGGCGCCAAAAGCGCGGGTTCGACAAATTTTGCAGCGCGACACGAGAACTACGCATTAACTTTTTTCCAGAAATGCACCATGGGAGAGCGAAGATCCAACCATCGATGAACACTAATAACTGAAGAAAATATTTCACTGTTCTGAGATCACAAAACTTAGAATCGCTGGATTTCTGAGGGAAAATTTCAGGAAACAAAAAACGAGTGAGTTCGTTGACAAACAAATTGCGACCATCTTCGTTTTCCATTTCAGACGCCAGGGGCTAGGGGTTACACAATTCACCACATCTGGAGGTCAGCGCTGCGGTCGATATCGCTGGATATCTTTTTCCCCCCTATTTTCTCGGCATTTCCGACCTTTTGAATTTGACCGAAAAATTTATCACTACAGAAATTTTTTCTTCGTCTTCGACCGTTCGCAAAATTCTCGGAAAAATTAAATGAGAAATGATTTTATAAATCGGTTAAAATCTTTTGGTGGTTTGGTACTAGAAGTTGGTCCATATTTTCCTCTTTTTTTTGCACAATATGACACAACCCTGATCCTCATCTATGAGTCATCTCAAATTAAATAAAAATCAGGGTCATATTAATTAGAATTATCATGTTTTTTCTATGATTTTAAATCCTAGAGGCTACTTCACAGAATTTTTCTTGAATATTTCATTATTTGTGAGCTGAAGAAATCGAGATTCAAGCTTTGTGGGCCTCAGATTTTGAATTATCCCGCAAAGCTTACATTCAAGTTGACAACAAAAACAACTAAAATGTCTCAAGAAATTGAACTTGTAACTATCTCCTCACATCGCTATTGGGTCATGATTTAATAAACATACCTTTTAAAATCTTGAAATGCTGAAATATATATCTATTCTGTCCCCACATGAATATTTGTTTCTCATTATTAGACTAACTTTCGTTCAAACCGCCAAAATATTTCTTGGTTTTTTAGTTTAAAAGTTAACTAAACTGTTTTTAACGTCTCCCAACTGACAACAGAAGATGCAACATGCAATACGCATCCCAGCGTGAAAACATTACTTTTCCATTGTGGAGAGACAGAGAAGCATAATTTCTTTCTGTGATGTCCGAACCGAAAGTCATTTAGTCGCTCGCCGTAGTCCTCCGAACTTTTTAACGATTTTATTCATTGATGACTGCATTTAGTTTAACGTTTTAAGCAGTGTGATACTCTCCAAGTGTTTTTATTGTGTTACAGTTATTAACGATGGCTAACATTGATAATATCTCTGATAGTGAGCTAAGGACCCGACTGATTGGTTATGGCTATCCGGTCGGCCCAGTAACTCAAACCACACGAAAAATTCTGATCAACAAATTGAAAGCATTCGAGAAAGACAACGTGGATGGGAAAGTGGATCAGAATCGGAAGCTGAATTTGTCTACTTTCAGCTCCGGTGAAGAGGAAGAGGATGATTCGAAACAGAGTAAAAACCGGCGCCGGAGCACGGCCCGATCACCCATGGGCCCGCCGAAAAAACCTCCTGCTCGTAGATCTAATTCAGCCTCTAGAAAAGCCACATCCCGAGCCTCAGTAGTTTCTCCTGTGGAATATTCCTCTCCAGAACCTGCCAAAAAGTCTCCGAGCAGAGGTAGAAAATCAACCTATCAAGAGCCATCTTCAGCCGACTCCTCACCGGAACGCTCATCTGTGTCTCGGAAAGCTAAAGCAACGAATTCAAACCACTGGTCCAACTCAGTACCTAGTTCATCCTCAAGAGACGCATTTGAAACTGGGTCTGATTCAGATCTCAATGATATGGAACCAACATCGTCGAGAGTGAGAAGCTCCTTCTTGAACGACAGCCCTAGCTCCTTGAGTAGACCGTCAACATTGTCCTCTTTACCTTCAAGTTTGAGGAGTAGATTTTTACCTTCGTCTAACTCTGAATCTGTTTCACTTCGAAGTTCACACACATCTCCTCTATCATACAAACCTTATGCATCAGAGTTTGCCCAGCGTCTATCAATGGGTCATTGTAAGTTATAATCATTTATAATTTAATTTTCCGTTTAAATCATACCTTAATGCCTTAGTCTTGAAACAGCAGCATGTTCAGGGAGATAGTTTAAGTCTCTTGACAGAACTGCCCTCTTACTATGGGTCACTTGCGCTGGTCATAGAATCGTGTATTGGGGCGTTTTTCTGGCAGATCAACTAAAAATAATATGTGCCCAAAAAACAACTTTCTACGTTGAATATTAACGGAAATATCGCGCCTTGAAAAACTCGATTTATAACGTTATCAACCGTGGTAGCACATACCATGTCATGCACTACAGCGGTAGATGACGTCAAAGCACGATATCTCACTTAATATTCAACGCACTTAGAAAGTTGCTGTTTGGATGGATCTTATTATTTTTAGCTGATCTACGATAATCAAGTATCCAAACACGATTCTGTTACCAGCTCAAGTAGTCCATTAGAGAGAGGCGTTGTCCTATTGTAAGACCTGCGGTTTAAAAATTTATATACTATTTGATCAAAATCTATTGGCATGAATTCAGTCTCTTAAGAGTCTTTGTCTCTCCAAACTGCAATGGAATGCGAAGAAACGCTTCACTTTTTATCCTGATTCACTGGCGCGATCCAGCTTTATCCTTGCGTTCAGCTCTTTCAAAGTGGGTTGAAGAGACAGTTACGCCAAATCGTAACCTAAGTAAGTATATAAAGCTCAAATTTTGCAAAAAAAGCTCATCAAACATATAATCACCCTTTGAATTTTTTTCCCCCATGGAATAATTTGAAATTGGTAAGACCCGTAGCGGATCCCAATCCAACGCTTTACATGGATAAAAAAGCCCTTCAGCATGATAGGACCTAAAAATGCACTTTTGGGCAAGTATCTTTGGCTATTTAAGTCATAGATACTGAAATCAAATGAAGGATCATTTGAAGGTTTGTAGCAAGAAATGTTATATAGACTTTTTTTTATCAATAGAATGCGATGAATCGGATTCTCAACTCTTCAAAACAGTTTGGCTTGATGTTAGGAATGCATGTAACGCCTCAACAACCACCTAGAAGAAGGGATCCAAGCATTCCGGGTGTTTTCAGTGAACAGGCTGGGCTGCAGCAATCGACCAAATAAAAAAGCACCATGGTTCATTGCATTCCCCTGCCGTTCATACCAAAAAGAAGCCCTGTAGGGGTAGAGACCGTTACAGATAAGTCGTCCTTTTTTCTTTGTATTCATAAAATAAAGAATTCCTTATCCTGCACACACAGTGAAAAAGGACAAGTTATCTGGAAAGGGCCCCAGTATCTAAGTATTCGTTTTGTCACTATCATTTTTTGTAATTCATAAATTCAAGTTCATAATTTTTGTTATTACTTAGTACTTACTTACTTGACCTCTGGAATTGTATTAATTTCATTTGTTTCTTTCAGTGAACTCTGGAAATTCGAGTTACTTAAATGTAAAAGAAAATGATGAAAAAGATACAGCACCCTCTTATTCAAGACTTCTGAACAAGTAAGTATTTCGCACCTTTTATTCAGCAAGAGGCAATGCATTTTTTAATTTTTCACTAATGTCCAATCGGGCACTACCAATTTAAATCACAGTGCGACCAATCTGATATTTACAAATGACGGACTGCATTTGTTTCACCATTTTAATAGAAACTAATTAGATATGACAGTTTTTAAACCTGGTTTGAATGTAATCATTTGGATCAATAAAATTTCTCCGCAGCTTAAGCTCAGCCTTGTTATTACAAAAAAAAAGAAAGGAGAAATAAGTTTTATTCTTGTGAAAAGTCAATGCATGATTCTAATTAATTTTTTTTTTTTTTTTTTTTTTTTTTCACTGCAGGCATTTGTTGTATTTCTTTTTGTCAAAGTTTTTGTGACGAATTCTTATTGATTCCTTCAAAATGATCGATTTCTCTACCTCATGTAAAAAATTAGATTGTTATGTCTCTTCTATCATTTTGCTTACATCCTGCCTATTGCTGAAACTAAGTTAAAAAATGATCAGAATATGTGTACTCGATCTCATTATCAGAAACCATTTTTTCCATTACTCTCATATTCAATTCAAATGTATTTATTAACCTTTCGTCTCTTTTTTCAACAGTGTTCGTTCTAGAGTGAGTGATGTTAAGAAGTTGGAATACCAAAACTACTTTTCTAAATCAGCGCAAAACATCTCTTTGGTCATCTTGCTGATTGCAGTTCTCTTCTTTGGGGGACTTATTATAATGTACCTGAACATGCATTTCAAGGAGACTCCCATAGCTAATTCTGGTGAGTATGAAAGTTATTTTAGGAAATCGAAACTTTGATTCTCACTTTATTGGAGATATTCTAATGTTCGATCATGCTGGAACAACCAACAGCATGATTGGCGGGTTGGCCAATCTGTCAAGCTGAGGGAAAATGCCGAATGAACATTCAAATTATGCCAAATTTTCTCGGATAAAACATTCGTATTTTAGGGAAGTTGTCAATATTTTCCTTTGAAAATGCCGGATAATCTAGACCAAACTGCAAAAACAAATACTTGGGCTAATTGAGAGAAAATTATTCCAAAGTTTTACACAGAATTTGTATCTTATCCAAAGAAATTTGGCAATGGTCCAAGTCTAAAACGGTGTTTTTCCCTAGCGTGGCAGTAATGTGATCCTCATCATTGTGCTTGTGAAATACAGCAGTAGATCAGGGATGAGGTGTGATGGGAATTTTTGACAGTTTGTGCTTGCGTAGTACCCAACTTTGAATCTAATCTGATGTAAACGCAAGATGAAGTGGATTGTGTTGGTGGTTTTACCGAGGAATAGCACATCTCGATTGTGGTGTTTCAAAATTGCGGCATAAATTTAATTTTTTAGAAAGGAAATAAGTTAACTTTTTTACCTGACGTTTTTGTGGAACATCTTCTAAGAGAAGAGAAAATCATGGAAGTTGGAAAAATTACATTGAGAGGTTTTCAGTTAAAAGATAAAGTATGATAGGAAACCTGTATGTAAGAAACCAGCAAACTAGAATACATGTTTGCCCAGCTATGTCATCAAAATGATTGACGAGCCAATCATGCAGTTCTCACTCAAGTGAATCTTAATGGACTGATCGAAGTCGAAATTTGTGTAATAAGTCAGCTGTTTTATTCACTCGTCAAAAAATTTCAACTCTCTAAAAAACTATATTTGGAGCCTGAACAAAGAAGTTCAAAATAATCTTTGGAAAGGTCCACCCATAGCTGGCAGGACCTAAGGACCTTCTTGTTAAAAATATATTTTACGAAGTTGAATGGGCTGTGAACTAGTTTTTCAAAAAAGTTCCTCTGAACTTCCAAGAGTTGAGGGAATAAACCTAGATTTTAAGGACGTATTAAACATTTTCACTGTTAGATTTTTTGCTTTTTTGAGGAATAGCCTCTCATGATACATACCTAGTTTACTTATACAGTTCTTCTCCCACAAGCAGTGCAGATAGTAATGTGCAAGGCCAAATTTATTTTCTAAACATCGGTATCCTGAATAAATAAACTCAGCATAAAAAAAATCTCAAAAGTTATCTGTGTATTACTCTATCAAGATTCTTAGATCCCTCACTTTCTAAGATTTTGTCTTTTTCTGCAGTACTTGTGCGCATCAGATTATAGATTCCTTTTTGTCGAACGTGTTCATCAATTATTTTCTTCAAGAAAGCTTTACCTACATCCAAGCAATTTTCTAATTGCGCTGAATTTTTTTTTTTAATTTTTATTAGTTTCATTTATTTATAATACTCTATATCCTAAACGTGTTAGCTGATTTGACAGGACAACTTGTGTGAATAATTTGAATTTGCAATCTGATAAAACATCCTCTTGCTGTTCCAGATCTTACGGTGACTGTTTGCTCTCTTGGTGGAAAGGCAGGCGTAAGTAACCAGTTTATATCAAGCTTTTCAAAATTTATTTTTAAAAAAAGACTTGTATAAGGAAAACTAGTTTTACGCTTTTGCGGTTTGAGAATTATGCACTCTTTCAGTAATAGTGCTCTTCCAACAGCTTTGAAATGAGTATTGTCCTTCAAATCATTATTAATAAAACTCTCATGAAGCCTCCGTCTTTTTTTCTAAAAAATCTTCAATGGATGCAAAAAATTGAGTCCAGTGAACCAGATGGCTCTTGTAACACTAATGTGAGTTTTGCACTCTGCCTTTAATGTGGATAGACCTCTTTCAGAGCAGTTTATTCTATTCAGACGCCTTTCACAAGTGTTTCTCTCTGTTTTTGCAGGTAACTTGTATATTGGAAACAGAAGTAGCAAGCTCTAAAGTATTATTAGGGATATTGTACCAGAAACTCTTGGAGCGTGCTGTTGCAGTTCAGTGTGGTCATGGCCCGGCCAGTCCAGTTTTCACCTTCAACGAAGCGTTCCACGTCTTGAAAACCTCTGCAGATTTGGTATGTGACTTTTAAATGAATACAATGTACACTAATGCATGGAATTTAATTTAAAACTGTGCCAAGACTCTCTTAAACATGCTAGCTTATCAGTACCCCAGAGCCAAAAGGTACCGAAGTACCTCCATTTTAGTTTTTTTGAAATGTCAGGGGAAAACTGCTTGTCGACCCCATTAATTCCAATGTATATCACAATTTTCAAAACTCCATTTCTCTGGACTGGTGTAAGATAGGGCTACTAAATTTCCCACACATAGGGAACCGCTAATGGAAATTTTGAAAACGTGGAAAACTCGGTTTTTCCAAAAATGTGAGTTAGATACCTTTTGGTTCCGGAGTACTGATATGATAAAGTCGAATGCCTCTCGGACTGCATTCCACGACTTAAGTAAGATACTGTTTTCATCATGACAAAACATGCTTTTCCCGATAATACTACAATTTTTTATTTGCATAAACATATTCAAATGTTTGGCATTTTCATGCAAATTTCCGGATCTCTCATTTTTCCACTGTCATTTTTACGCACTTGCCATCTTAAAAATCATGTTTTTGGCAAAACAGGATAAAACATTTTACAAAAATCACATGCACGGTCAAAAGTTTATGTCCTCTAGAGCATTTTTTTGTCACAAACAATACATTATGACACTTTAAACTGTCGTAAAAGGCTGATTATAGGGGTAAAAAAGTTACAAAAATCCTTAAGCCCTTATCAGATGGTCCCCTTCTTTTCCCTAAAGTTTCATTCAAAGAACTAAACCTTTGAACCTACTAAACAGAATAGTGTTACATACATAATAAATATCAATCCTAATTTTGTGATGTCTGTGACACTCTATTTTCTAAGATAGGTAGCTCTCTCTGAAGTTTAATTTTTTTTATGAAACTTTGAGGGAAAAGTGGGAATTCCTCTCGCAAGGTTTTAAAGATTTTTTTAAAGTTTTACTCCGAATACTAAGCCCCTTACAGCTCTTTAGTGTCAAAATGTAACGTCTGTGACAATAAATAAATGTCCTCTGAAGGAAGCAAGTGGCTTCGCAAGAAATCTATGTCCATTAGAAAGTACAAGTGCGTTTTTTCAACTACATACTTGCTGATTTTCTCAACTAATGATATTTTCATTGCAGCACGAGTGGAATGTCCAAGAAAGTTTGGGCAATGTCAAAATTCTGATCAGGGACAATCCTCAGCTTGGTATCGAACTATCAAACTCGGGCATGGAAATTAAAGAACCTAACCTTCCTCTCTGGTGTTCTCTCAAAATTGCCGTCGTCAGTAGCATGTACTTTGTGCTGTACATAGTAACAGGTAACTATCTCGCATAATCTTCTCTTCTGATTTAGAATGGTGGGCCTCTAGAAACATCATCTATTGGTCTATTCATCACATCATTTATCGATGGCCAAAGTGCAAAACCTTGTATCTCTATTGCAAAGCTCTAAAAATTCTGCTCCTATTTTATAATTTTTGAAGTGTAAATTACCTTTTCACAGAAAATGTGAAAATTTAAAAAAAAAAAATATTGTTTGCACAATTTAAGTAGGAAATGAATTTTTTTTTTGTTGTAAAGTCAGAAGTTTAAAATTTGTACCCCCCAATTAAAGCTTTCAATACGTAGACAAGTTCAGTGATATTTTTTTCCAAATTTCAATATTAGCAATTTTGAATGAAAATTGTTTCTTTGTAAAATCACTTAAGAAATTGACACCAGTATCTCAAGTTTCACCCATGTAACTTTGGTTTCAACACCCTCAGAATCCCATGGTTCAATGAAATTTTTAAAAGTTCAACCTTTTTTGCAAAATTGCAAAAAAGTTCTGCAAGATAATAAATAATAATTTATATCCCTTTCAGTCACCTAATCTTCCATTTTAATGAGGTTATTTTGTTATTTGTAGAAGTAATCAAAGCCGTAAATGTTGTACCAAGCTCCGAAACAGTCATCAAAGAATTTTGCAGGCACAATCCAACTGTTTTTTAAAGACAAATGAAGAAAATATAGACTCAACAAGCATGAATATCTTTCCGTTTAAGCAATGTCCTGTTTACTCTCATCATTTAACAACTAAACAAACTACATGCAACTAAATACATGTTATGTTCCCTTAATAATTCAGATGTTTTCCCCAACAGCATTCGTAATGGTTGTGGTCGTACAACGACTTTACATTCTCTATAAATCGTACCAAGAAGAGCAAAAGAAAGTCGTCTTCAAGATGGTCGAGGACATTGTAGATCTCCTGAGCCAGCAAGCGTTAACCAACCCAGGCGATAATTTCCTTCTCATCAACCACATTCGTGATCAGCTCATTGCCCCCAGCGAAAGAGAAAGTATGTATTGTATTTGCTTAAATGTTTCACCTAAAGCTACACTGTTTCAGCCTAGATAATTTCAACCAAGAATGTAGTCTCCATTAAAATCTCATCTATGAGCCCGATTTTGGCTTGAACTGCTAGTCAAATTTTTCATAAAATGTTTTAACATTTTGTGATCCATAAGAACTCAAACTCTAACCATACATTTTTTGTAACATTTTTTTTCTACTTTTCTTGGCAAGTGAATGTGGTGACTTGATATTGGCAAAAATCTTTGAATAGAATCATCTATATTCTGACATTGTGTATTGACAGATACTCAATTTATTAGCAGCTGCTTGGTATCTTGATAGTTCCTTTCTTTACGCTCACCCGTTTTAACATCAAATTAAACCGCATCAGCAAGAATCAGTTTAGTGATATTAGACATTTCCTAATTCTTAAAAAACTCAGCGACGTTCTGACCTGAAATTTTGTGAATGTATTCTGTGTAACTTTAGCGACTTTCACAAATTGCCAAAGGCGTAATATTATTCAGTTCTTTCAAGAGTTCAGTTCTTTTTTAGTTCTTTCCAGCATACTATCTCTTAAGAGGTGTAAAAAGGCACCTTCTCCCAGCTTGTTGCTTTCCTCTGTCCACAGGAAATCTCTACATGTGAATCATTCAATCAGTCTTATCTTCCTTCATCACGGTTGCAAAATCATTATTAATAATAATATCTATTAATTTCAGAAACTGCAAAAACTTGGGCAGCAGCTGTCAAGTACATTGAAGAAAATGAGTCGCGAGTTCTTTGTGACGAAATCATTGTCAACGGTGAAATGTCAAAAGTATGGCGTTGGGCTTCCCATGCTAAACCATCTAAGTGAGTCCTTCATTTTCATTCCCTTTTGTTATAGGCTAAGCTGAAATAGTGATTATCTTTTTTTCAGGCTCTCTTCAAATTAGTCCTAATTTGGAGAACAGATGATGTCTTTAGTCAGAATATTGTAATATCTTTCAGTTGATGAATGTTTTCTCAGATGAGGAAATTTCGTTAGACAGGGTGAAAATTGAAGTATCTTATGACTTTTCTTTTTCATGAATATTTCATGTGAGACATGATAGACTTTTTGCAAATGCTTTAAATCAAATCATAAGTGAGAAATTAGCAATTATAGCTCAGTCAGAATTGATAAGTTTGAACTTCTCATTTCCAAAAAATCCAAAATCGTTGCAGGTCAAACCGACCATCAGAAACTTAAGTGTTTTACCAAAAAAATACTGGTTTTTGTGTGTGTTTTTCTCTCTCTTTTGACATGTAAAAATGGTTCCTCTCAAGTTATTATAATACATGTAGCGCACAGAGATATTAATTTTACTGTTGAAGCTCATTTAATGTATTTTGACATGAAAGTCAATCCCCAATTAGTTCCGAAACAGCACCACACATCAACAGTGAAACTCCGAAACCACGTATCTTGGTTTGCAATGTTGCAAACTTCCTATCATACATACTTTATTTTTGAAATGGAGAACTGCTCAATGTCAATTCTTTAAAACTTCCATGACTTTTTCTTTTCTGTGCGAAGCAAGTTCTGAATAAACTCAATGTAATCCTGTTGATTTGTTCTCCTTGAAAAAAATAAAATTGGAGCGGAGGTTTTTAAACACTGCAAGCAAGATACATGATTTGAAAGTTTCACTATTGATATCCTTGCATTCAAATGGCATCATTGATGAGTGTTGATTCTGAAAAGTATGGCTTACCTTTCTATGCACAATAAAGAAGTTCTAAGAAGTACGCATATCAAACGAGTTGTGAACTCTGTTTTTCAATTACTCATTTTGTTCATTGATTGATCCCGTTCATTTATTGCTTTCCTTCCAGCAGACGCAAAACATGGCAAGGACAAGCGTTTGAAACAGTGGAAGGTAGTGTCAACTCTCAACCGGTCAGTTTAACGCAATGCCTCAAGATTCGCCACATGTTTGACCCAGAAATGTAAGTTATGCTCCAAGCTCAACCCTCACGGTTATTTCATCCTATTTTAGGCTGGTTCTTTACTTTTTATCATTTCATGTGCAGAAATAGGCGGAGAGGTGTCATGGCACATCTGCAAATTTTCTTGCAAAAAAATAAGGATTTTTGCAATCTGGCTTGTCAATTGAAAAAGCTTTACGCTTTTCTGTAGTGTCTTTAGAGAACTTTTTGTGAAAGTAATCATACTGTATCCCAAAAATTTCAAACTCAAATGTCCTGTCCCTTTCCAGTGAACATTCAAGCGCTGTGTCAGGAAATCAATTCTTCCGCTCTTCAAAAAAGGATTTTAATTTGAGTTTTTTTTTTTTTTTTTTTTTTGCGCACAGCGCAATGCAAATGATGTTAGTATGGAAAAGTAATAAAATGGAGTTACACAAGCCTCGTAGAAGTATTTCACTCTAGATGACCCACTATATAAATATATATATTTATTTTCCAATCGGCAAAAGTGCCCTTTTTACAACAACCAGAAGAAATTTCTGAAGTGATCTTTAATGTATTTTTGTATTCAGGAAAATGTCAGCTTTTGGTTGAAGAGAGCTTATTTTTTTAAGTGCAAAGTTTATTCTTGAAAGGATTTTTATTCCAAATGTATTTATTTATTTCATTCTGTAATGTTCAAGATAAGAGAGTCCTACCCAACCAAAATTTGGCCTATTTTTATGTATTATTTCAGCATTTTCCCCACTGATTTATGTTAGAGAATATCCGGATTTCAAGAGGAGATTGAATTTGCTCTCTAATTGCTTCTTTTGTCTCAGTTGTAATTTTTAGTTTGATAAAATTTGTAGGGAAGTCGGTGAGGAGTGGATATCGAGAGTTGAGGATGCCATTTTGGAAAAGTGCGAAAGCGTGAAGATACTCCATATGGCTGTTGATAGGAAGAGTGCAGAAGGATGCGTTTACCTCAAGTGTGCTTCACCACAAGATGCCGGAAGGGCACATAAAGCTTTGCATGGATTTTGGTTCGACGGTGAGTTTTTAACTTTTTCCAGCCCCATTTTTTTTAAACAATGCCCTTTGTAAAGTTACATTTCATTTTCTATCTCTTGTTTTTAATGTAGTATAATCTTCTGTTCAAGTTTTGAATTCTTATCCGAAAGGATTCTCATTCTCATAAGCCTACGCATTATTTTCCAACAGTCCCCAAAGATGCTCAAAATCAGCAGCATGAGAATAGTGACATCAAAGTTTATATTTCAGCTTTAATGTCTTATTTAAACTACCAAAAATCATTGTGATAATACAGAGTCAGAACCTTCCAGGAACAGGGTAAATTTTTTTATCAGTTTTTTCAATTTGAATTCAATGTAGTGCATTATTATATTTTTTCAATTCTTGTTTTTACAGGAAAATTGGTCACTGTGAAATTTTTGAGATTAGAGCGCTATTACGAACGTTTTCCTGAAGCGATTAATTTCAACACCCCGTTACGTCCATCCAATGATAACAAATTATCTCTACAGTAAGTCTAAGTTAAATTTTCTCTTTTTATTGTTTTCAAAATTTTTCTTGCATCTGAAACGTATTGAATTCTAAGAAAATTTTTGCTAAAATTTATCAATCCAATATTGTTCCTATTTATCGTATGATCAGTAAATTTGACGCTAATTAGCACAAAATTGCACATTTTCAATGTGTCCATTGCTTCCTTGCCTTCTCTTGGAAGTGATAAATCGAAAGTTATTTTATACCTTCATTCATCAGAGTTCAAGCTGTTATGTATGTATATTTAATGGATTAAAATAGATGAGATCTCTTGACGCTCCTTCAGAATTTCTTGTAAGTAACCTTTGATTTGTGCCATTGCTCTATCCAACTCCAACTTAACTCATTTCTACTTTTTGTTCCCACCAGATAAAAAAATGAGACTGAACTCCTGTTTAATTTTCCTGTTCACTTTTGGTAAGCCAATCATTAGTTCATCCTAATTTCTTAAGCAAAAATCTTAAATTTCAAGTCTTAAATTTTACATATCTTGATTTTGCCGGAATACTTGTGTTACAAGTTGCCAAATTTTTTCTCGCGTTTTATTTGTTTAACCTGAAACCAAGCCACTATCTGTTTTTGAAATTTTGGAAGAATATTGTCCAGGAGCAACGAAAAGTTGACAGAATGCTTCTAGGCACTATTTTGCCTTGTTTTTGGTTGAAAAGTAAAATACAAGAGAAACTTAGACAACTTGAAATGCAGTTTAGCTGATTCTAGTGAAATATGACGAATAAAGTACTGATTTTCACCTTATTCTTTGTAGAAAGTATAAATAAATTCTGGAAAAGTTCCAGAAAATTCAGAAATCCAATGAATTTCCCTAAAAATTTTACGCAAGAAAAGATCAATTAATTCAAAATTGCCACTGCATATCAGAAGTCCATTCTCAGCAGGGCTGTGCAAACAGTAAAATATTTGGAAGCTGGTTTTAGTTCACATAGTCTAATTGGACTAATTTTCGCAATTCATAACTACAATTTCCGCCTCATCTGTAAAAACACTTATGTGAATAAGGAAACTAATGGTGCGTAAGTTGTTTCTTAACTGAGCCAGAAATTGTAGTTCCATATTGCAAAATGCAGTTCAATTCTAAGTGATTTTTTATTTGACTTTCACCAATTTCTATAACCTGAGACTTTTCTTTTCAGGTGACTCCATGGCTCTCAAACTTCATGATTCAGTGATTTCCTCTCATCATTGTTGGAGACAGCTCAAACTGAAATCATTCATTTCACCTTTTGGACTGTCTTAGCCATGAATTTATGTAATGTTTTGCATCCATATTATATATCCATCAGGTATCATTGTATGTTTTGTACATCCTAGAATTTGAAAAATGTTTGATTCCTCTACTTTGGCCGTATTACTTGCGTAGAGAATCAGTGTGGAAAACGAACTTATGTTTTAGCTTTATTAGGCAATTTTCCTGCTCCTATTTTGTGTTGTTAATGAAAATTTAAATCAGGATGTATATAAATCTTTCCTTCTTATTATCTCCTTAACATCATGAATATGTACTTGGATTCCTTTTATTGTACCGGTTTATTAAGTATTCTTTAAACTCGCCATCAATTTTTTCTTTCCTTTCTTCACCTGAAATATCTGATTTTTTAAAGTTAATTTTTAGGTCCAAGATTCAGATCAGTAAAACATCTCCGCATTTAAGAAAAAATATACCTTCTCGATCGGGAACCTTTGGAAAAGATCCTTAATGTAAACTTACCTCATCCGAGGTCCTTCCTTTCCAATGAAACTCTTCCAAGTTAAACTAATGTAAACATTATTATCATTGCTCACTTAAAACTGGCCTTTACAGAAAGGTAGTTGTCATCTTAGTAAAAATTTAATTTTGAAACAAAATAAAGACAAACAAAAACGCAAAAAAATTAGACTTTGGGTAAGCAGAGCTTAACTCTTTCTCTAACTTTACCCTCCTGTTAATTGTTATACCTTAGACCTAAGATTTTTTTTTTCCCTTTTTTTTTTTTTATCTTACTTTAACAAGTAGTATGTAATTGGTAATCACTTAGATTTTAGGCGAATTCTCCTCTAGATAAATTATTTTTATTTAATTTATGATTTCACCTTGTAATTTTATTTCTTTACCTAATTATTTTGATTGCCTGTTCTTTTAAATTTTCTTTCTCTCTCATACTCACTTTTTCTTATGTTTGACATCAAAATGCTTTTGTGAAAGATGTCCTCAAAAGGTTATGATTAAGTTTTTCTCTTGTTCTTTTATGTAACTTACCTATTTTGTTTATCCTATTTTAAGAGCTCTGAAAAACTAATAAAACTAGTAACCAAAAGAAGTCGGGCGATCTAGCTTTTGTTCTTTTTTATTTACTTCTCAGCATGCCTGATTACTCTGACTGACGGTTAGATTACTGAAAAGTAGACTGGTGGAAATTCAAAACCTTTCGATGGTGAAACTGGTGAGAGGCGTATCTCAGTAGGCAGCATCAAAGATCACCTGTCTATAATTTATTTTCTACACAAAAAACTAATGGACATCGTTTCTTGATAACTTTGATGGTTTTTTTCTCTCTTTGTATAGATTATTCTGTGACAATTTCGAGCCACAATGTCTGTTCAGTTTCCATTTAAATAATTTAATAGAAGCAGAGATTTGGAAACGCTGTAACTTAGATTTGTATTTTTGCAGTTTTACCATCACAATTAAAAGGTGCTGAGAAAGGTTGTGGTTGAACTTCCTCTCTAAAGAAAGAACATAAATACCCTCGTTTTATGAAACTTACCTAATAACAGGAAATCCTCCTCTTAATGGTTAACCCTATTGTTAGAACCAGAATTGTTCTTCTTGACCAACTAGATTATCGTGAAATGAAAGAAACAGCTACACGAATGGCGCGTGCCATGCATTGAATTTCTACTTTACATATTCCTCTCTCTCCTTGAACTTAAGTCAGAAAGCAGAAAAGTAAATTTCACTAAGGATTGATTGAGTATTAATAATATCATCAGTTCCATCTTTTCAATCATTAGAATGGAAAAGGACGTCCTTGTTCAATCACAAACCCTGGCAATCCCCGCAAGGTGCAGAAAGAAAACTCAGGAACCATCGAACATTCATCCTTTTTACTTACCAAATGGCATTGTAACTTTAAGAATTTAATCTAAAATTATGGTGCACAAAAATGACCAGGTTTTCTGATTTTTTTTTTCAAATTAGCTCAGAAGACACAATTCGGAACGACATGCTACAGTGGCGAAGTATTTGCAGTCTCGCACCTCTCCCTTGCATAGCTCCTTCTTGCCCAAGAAAGTTGATTACACTGAAAATCAAAATAACTGATGAAATTCCGTTTATTTTTTTTTTACAAGGCGCATCGCTTGTGCGCATAAAACGCCTTCAAAAAAGCGACCCGCACAACACATGCTTAAAAACAATTGCCGTAGAGCTAATTGAAGGCGAATTAAAAAAATGTACCATACTGTAACATTACCTATTGGCAAACTACCCTGCCTGGATTGAAGCATAAAACGCCTTCAAAAAGAGGCTNTAGCACAAAATTAGCACAAAATTATGGCATTCTTTTTTTTCGAAAATTCGAAAGTGGGGGGGCTACCGTTTCTACAGCCCCCCCAATTTTGAGGAGCGTTTCCCCCCTTAATTTTGCAGCACAAAATTTTTAATTTGCGGCACAAAATAGCACAAAATTAGCACAAAATTATGATATAATTTTTGGTTTAAGATTCGAATGTGGGGGGGCTGTGGAAATGGACCCTCAAAAAGATTTGTAATGATGAACCAGAATCGATTAGCACAACATTTCTGTAGCAACAATTTATTGTCGCATATCGAATTGGGGGCAAATTGAAAACGACTGTGAATAATGAAAAATAGGTTCGTAATACCTACTTAATTCATTCCTCAGCATTAGGTACATTATCTCCATTCCTTAGCATAATGAAGAGTGGAAGTAAAGTTAGTAGGCGCGCATCAGATGATACTGTTTTAGGTTTTCAGTACTTTTTGAATCAATTACCCTCACCCGTATGTAATGCCAATGCCAAAACTTTGAGCACGGACTTTACTGCGGATATTTTTGAATATGTAAAAAGAAAAGAAGCGGGACTCTAGCGCATATACATATAGGATTTATGGTCGACAATTTAGAAAAAAATTGACCAATTTTGCGGACAATCAAGACTGATCTGGTAAAATTTGAGTGGGGAATGGATTTAGATCCTAGGTTTTCATCTATTTTTTCATCGAACTTTCTATCGAAACTTTAAGTCCTGCCGAGAACTAGCCGAGAACGCAGACTGCGGACATTCCTACGTTCCCATCGTGATATAAAGTTTGAGCGGAGAGGCGGCAACATTGATAGCGGCAACACGGTGTCACAGAGTGAATCATTATTTACAGCGTGTGTTTATTTACGTTCCGCGGTCTGAGACATTGCCATTGCCTAGACCAATTTTGGCCGTAACATTTCAGTGCAGTTCGATAAAATTTAATTAGTTCCTACCTTTGAATCCTAAAAATTGTGTACTTTTACGTGCGGTTCTTTTATTGTTCCTCGTGCACTCGAAATCGTATGCCTGCCGAAAGTTCGTGTGCATTTCCTCTGCTCTTGAATTAGGTTCCCTGTCTGCGTTGAAAATTTCGCCCAGCTTCTATTGCTGACATATTTCATAACGATCTCGGAAAATCTAGTACCTGCTAGGTCTTACTGGACTCTTTAATCATTGGGCTATGTGTTTTTTTGGTCTGTTGCCACTGATCTAATCTTCTGTCGAATGTATCGGTCATTATTCAGTTCCTGGGTTTACTACTGTCCCACATGAGGACTACAGTTTCAAGCTTGCCCACTGCATTTTATCTTGTGTGTAGACTCAACTTTTCCTAGTGTACCATGCCATTTATAGGTATGGACACAAATTAATTCTCTTGCCAATCCGTACCTGTTGTTTTAAGCTGCTATCGTGTATAGCACAAGTGATCGCAGAACCCTCGTCGATACCGTATCTTGCCAATTTGGGTCTCATATCAGTGTTTCAGTTAAATTAATTAAATTTAAGTCGGTAGTTGTATTTTTAGTAGTGTTAAGTTTATGAGTGTGAAAACTTTTCTTTGAAATCTTTCTTAATCTCAATCTGTAGATAATCTCGATCTTGCCGAAAGTGCTAGTGCCGGTGCTCTTATTGTTAGTGTCATGTTGCCGATACTTCCTCTCGATGTATTCATCCCAGCCGCAGTTCTTGCCAGGCGAGGTGGAATTTGTGCTGATCTATTGGACTACTCATTTGAGCTCAACATAAAGGTAGGAGAGTCTCTGAACTACTTTACATATTGCTTTTATCAATTTTTCTTATCCAACTGTCTTTAGTATAATCGTATTGTCACCTATCCTTTTACAAAGCCTACTAATACCACTGCAAGGCACACTTGAATGCAAAGGATTGTCTGCTGAACTGAATTGTATTACCATCACATGGAGGGGCAGTATTAAGAATCCTAGAGACAGGGTTTAAAGTTATTCTGCTTGAGGTTAGGGCCGCATATAACCACTCGATGATCACCTCAGAAGAGTGAACCAAACACTCCACTGAAATGTATGGAACAGGCTGAGCCGTAGGAGTGGCCTAGGATTAGTATTCATTGTGGTTCATAGCGATCCTCTGTGCCTGAGATAAAATAAAACCTCAACACAACATTGACTCAGTCTTGTTTACATTAAAAAAGGATTAAGATTAATCTATGGTAGAGGCTCATAAAGTCTCTCCCATAGGTACATCTTAACTTTTTGCAAGATCTTATCATTTGTGTTCCATCTTACCCTAAGTGCGTCTTTTAAATATTTGTTTATGTTCGAGGCTACCTAGAATTCACCAGAGCCTTGAGCCCTAATCTCCAAAGTAAATGATTCAAACATGAATTTATGCTGTATTAAGACACTTGCATCAACAATAGAAGGCAGACAGTCTGACTAGTATCTATTCTCAAAGAATAGTTGGGCAGTGTCTAGCGAAAGGTAGCCGATTAAAAGAATCTGATAACAGAGGGAGACAGTTTTGAAGTTTTAGGTCAATTTCTTGGGGTCCTAGGGGGAATTTTTTGTCAGTAGGTATCCTAACATATGCGACACAACTCCACAGAAGTTGCTTTATTTCAACCAAACTTCGCAAAAATTGCTCCTCTGAAATTTTGCTTCTGTGGATTAGGATCCTTTTTTAGGTCACATTTCATTGGAAATGTTTGCTGAGGAAAAGTATCCAAGTCAAAAGATATCATGAGAAATAGTTCTCTCTGTCATCTCACAACCTTCAAAAGTTCTTAGATACTAATGTACCACCATATCTGCGAAGGCGTGTAGAGCATAGTGTGGCGTGCTACAACTCAGGGATGATGAGGATTACTGACATATAATTTTCAGTTGCACAAAGCAAATCGACGGTGAAAGTCGGCAATCACATAACTCGGTTTGCGACGTCGCAGACTTCCTGTCATATTTTATTTTTTAAACGGAAAACTACTCAACGGTAATTCTTTAAAACTTCCGTGATTTTTCTTCTATGTGCGAGGAAAATTCTGCAAAAACTTCAAGGAATCATGTCCATTTGTTCTCCTTTAAAAAAATAACATAGTTGCGGAGATTTTCAGACACCGCAAACGAGTTATGTGATTGCCGACTTGCACCGTCAAAATATCGTTCCTTTTATGCTCGCAAAGACGGATGCCAATTTTAACATAGCTGGACCAATGAAGGACAGTTTGCTTTGCTTCTGAACATCTCAGGTGTATGCACACTAAGCAATTTCACAGCTGTCAAATTATTTGCTGAACTGTAGTGCTGTTCTTGAACTGCAGGGTGGATGCAATGGTGAATCTGTGAAGGGGTGAAGAGGGGGATGGCAAGAAATTTGTATTTCACAGATCGAAAAGTACGAGATTCCTAAAAAAATCTCAAAAAATGATTTTTCTTTCTTATAAGATGTCGAGTCCTGGGGTAGTTTTAATCCTCCTCTTCCTTCTTTGATTCAGTCTCTAAGAAGAGGCAATTGGAAAATCAAGGAGCATGCTGGGACATGTCACACACATGGGAAAAATTGACTAGTTGTAAACTTCTTTTTTGTCAGAGATAAAGTACCTAGTTTAATTTGGAGAAATATAGAGGAGAAAGTGGCCACGTAGCCAAGAAATAATTTAATTTTTTCTAAGAACCTTTATTCCAGTTTTAGAAGTATCCCAGCTGAACACTTTGAAAAAAAAAATAGCTACTTGTCCTCCACTGCTTTTCTGCTTTCGCTCACCCTTTCCCTTCCTTCTTTTTTACTTCCGCTT